TTCTCAGTGTGAAATTTAGTTACCACATGCAGGTTTTAGCTACGGCAGCTACATTTTGTTCCGTTATGGCATTTTGAAGAACTTTGTGAGAGTTTACTAGTAAAATGTATGGTAAAATTTTAAAAAACTCGCATAAAGCTTTTCAAAATGCCATGTTGTTCCACGATAAATTTTGAAAGAAAATTCTCTCCCTGTATTAACGTGTAATTATTATTTTTCGCGCTCGTTGATTGTTATATCTTTATTATCATTCACGAATGTGCGGGTTTTTTCGTACTTGGAAGTCAAAATCAATATGATAAATTGTGAATTTGAGATCGAAACGTTCCGATGTTTACACATTTGCGCCGATTTTCGTGTCTTTCCGCGACTCTCACGTCCTCGTAATGACGATCCAGTCTTGGAACGAATGCGGATCGGTGAAACAGCTCGGATTGAACGATATATTATATCGGCATCGCGGCTACGCGTAGACGTGAGTCTCGCAATTAATCGGAGTCGCTCGAGATAACACTTTCAGTCACGAAACTGACGTGCTGTTTGTTTTCCGCTTCGATGGTGTCGGCACGATCTAGAAAGCGCAGTAAACTCGCGCCCGAGGAGCCGGGAAGCGATTAATCCGTTTTTAAGGCTCGCCGCACGGGATTTTCAACTGCGTTCCGCAGAACTCTAGAAAATCGAGTTCTGCGCGCGCTCGTAATAGTGGCATCGCGTGTCGCGCGGGATTATTTTAATGACGAAATTCGTAATTATATGTATTTTCCTCGGTCAGTTCCACTCTACGACTTTAACGATCGGGTCGCAGGGAATTCTCGAATAACATTTAAACGCGCGCGATCCTCGCCAAAATTTTTCGCCCAGCGATACTTTAACCCTAGAACTATCGATGCGATCGGTATACTTATTTTTACTGCCCAAGTACAAATTGTGTACACATATATCGAATCCATTCTATAAATAATATACGGTTGCTTACAGATGAAATAAAAAAATTTTGACATTTTAATTTTTATCCAAAATATATTTTCAATTATTATTTACAACTTCTTCTCAGCGTGAACTTAAATTTTCAATTCCACGGTGAAATTAAAGTTTTCGCTCCGAGGTAGAGAGAGACCAAATCGAGCGTACGTCTATACCGTATTTATGGAATGTATTCAGTATAATGAAAAGAAATCGGTCAATTTAATCATTTACACGTTGCAAGAAAGACCATGGAAAATTTCAGAAAATGTGCCATTATAATATTGAAAAAGGTACAAACCAGTTATTTTGACTTTGACAGTTAAATCCGCTCTGAGATCTGGTCCAACGTGACTTAATTTTCAGTAACTCAGTTTGCCAGACCACCTCGCATACGTTTTTAAATTTTGGATTTAATGCGTATAAGAAAAGAAACGAAGGCAGAGAAAATGAGTAATGAGACAGCTCTTTTTCCCTAGAAAGAATTCGCCAAGATAATAGAATAGGAAGAGGCAATTTTAATAAGGGAGTGCCACGCAATGGTGACTCTAGGAGAGAATATATCCATCCGCCATTCAAGCCGCGAGCCTTCTAATTCAGCGATATAATTTAGCGGAGGTTGCACGTTCAATCTTCCACAATCGTCCACACGGAGATCTTTGTGCACCCAATGATAGTACACACGTAAGGCTCCGGTACACGCGAGGCATTCACGCACACGAGATCTCGCATTCTCTCGCTACGTGAAAGATACCGGACACGTGAGGTCCTCGAGATCTGCCCTCACACGAAGCTCTCGCGCATAAATCTACCTTGCGCACACGCAAGACGGACGGACAGTCATACGGTTCCCCTTACGCCTTAGCCTCCATTATCCCTTTGACCTCCCGCGTTACGCTCTCGCTACCAGGAATTGATCGGGTTAATCCCGAGGATCAACCGATCCTCCTGGAGGAATCCGCACCTGCGATACCGGCGCGCGGCGGTATCGAGCGCTCGCTAGAAAGTGCCGATAAATTTGCACCTGACTCGAGGAGCGGAAGGCGATTACATCGTTTTACCCAAGGTACGGTCTTCAGCGACCGTCCGCAGGAAACGGGGGGATATATCATCATCCGTGTGGGATTGCCCGCGGTGGGATTTACCAGGCACTCCGCTCGTTTACTCGCCTCTTCTTGCCGATCATCGCCGGCAGGAAGCACGCGGCTTTTCCACGCCGCAGAGATCCCGTGTATGCCGCGCCGCGCCGGTTTCAGACCGGGTCCTTTCTTCACCGTAGACGTTTCCGCGGTTCGATGAGAACCTCGGCAGATTTCGCACCGTTCTCGCCAGAAGTGCCGGCCGGAATGATACCCGTTTGCCGCCGCGTAAGTTTTTGCCCGTCGCGAACGCGCTGCGATATCGGCGGATATCGCTTCCTCGACGTTAGCCACAAACAGGGCATTACGGTTGGACAAGCGGAGCAGAAATCGCCACATCTCGCTGTCACTTGCCGACGCGAGCTTGAAAAAAAAGCCGCCTAACGAGACGTGTCAGCGGCGATCCATGTTAATGCGATCTTTCAGATCCGCGAGATCAGATATCGTACGACGACATTTCCCGTTAATTTCTTGCAGAGTTTAGGTGTTTACTGCGCAATAAAGAAAACAATATCGCGCGGAAATTACTACCGATAAATTGCCACTTGTGCTCTTATTTGATTCCCGAGCGACAGGATTAGGTAATTCAAAAACCACACCGCGCGATGCGGTAAAGTGATTACGATCTCGAGCCTTATATATGAACATCGTGGAGTTCGTTAAGCTCGCGATTTAGATTCGGACAGGATCGCGTCGCCGTAACGATTGCGTCTCTCGGCCGGCGCGATAATTATATATTAATGGCCGCTGGTCACCGATTTCTTCTCCCGGCGCGAATTGGTTTCGGAGACGAAGAGGCAGAGCCTTCTCTTCCGCCTCTTCGGAGCAGCGGAGACGTGTCGCGATCAGTCTTCATTCAGACGTTCCGCGAAATTGAAAAGTGGACGTAATTATCTCTTTGACAATTCTCGAAAAAAAAAACTTTCATTATATTCTTGTTCGATCATCGGCGATGATTACGCGCGTCTACGGATGTTCCAACGGTTCGTGTATCGAGGTGTATATTTCAGCGTGGGAACTTTGGTGGCACAGTGCGTTGGCCAAACATTGGTTAAACATTAGCCCAATATTTGGCTGTATTGGGCCAATGTTTAGCCCATGGTGTAAAGATACAAGGTGAAGCAATCTGGTGGATGCGCAACCAATCAGAAGTGGCCCGAACAACCGAATTTGACCCATCAGTTTGCCCCGATCTTCAAACTTCAAATCATCGCGGTTGAATGCAGGAAGAACCAATGAACAATTTGCCCCAAAAATTGGTTACACACGCGATGTTTCACCTTGTATCTTTACACCATGGTTTAGCCTGTTTCGCTGTGCTGCCAGGGAAGATTGAGAAACGTATTGCGTTAGGTATTCGCGTTTCATTGCGATAGATAATTTCTGGCATATCTCCGCGACACGTCACCGGCTTCCCCGATTGAGAACTTAATGATCCGAGGTGCGCAGAGTGCGACGAACTTTCCGCGCTCTTCCGATTTCCCAACGCGCGGCCGATCGGCGGCAAGACCGATCGGCGCACGGAGATCCGCCCATCGATTTCTAAACACTATTTTATTATCCCGCTTCCTTCAGCGGATCATTGGTCCCGGCGATTCCGCGATCCGCGGATTACGCTCGAAGGCGCCCGAGCGCTGAAATTCACTTTCTAGGTCGTAAAATCGAGTGGTCGCCCATCAGCGGCGCTTTCTGCCGCAACGAATCGCGTCCCTTGTTCTCCCGAACTCGTTCTTCCATCGATTCTTTTTCGTCCGCCTCGGCTCGCGAACTTTTCCCGAAGAGCGCAACGAGATTCGCGAATCTTGCGACACGCGACGTGCCGATTTCCCGCTCAGATGCTCGTTGGGTTTAATATGCAAATTTAGTAACGTGAACAAGAGATGAACGTTAACTGGACTTTTCTTCACGCTTCTTGTAGCTGCGTGACTTGTGGACTTTTAATTTTACATTAGCAATATTATTATTAAAAAGGCTCGTACATCAACCTCCCAGATAGCAGGGCATGTCTAAAAGGCGTCATAAAGATACCTTTAAGATAACTTTCAGACGTACATGTCTAAAAGGCAACTTAATGCCGTCTTAAAGATGTCTTTGGGACATGCTATCTGGGCTGTTGCGAAATTGTTATTGCCATTGCGGTTTTTAATATTTATCGTATATAATTTGTTGGTATCTGAAAAAGCCAATATATACGTCGTGTTTATTTTAAAGTGAAAAGTTCACGCGCGCAATTTCTTCGGATGATACTTGATCTCGAAATCGGATTTCTGTAGTTTCGAGCTGAACCCGTCGCGCGAAAGGAATGCGCCGTGAAAGGTGGAAAAGTGTAGGGACGATCGAAAGGATTGCAACGGCCTTAATTACAGTGCCGGCGCTTTTTTCCGTGCTATCCTTTCTTCTTTGCAAATTAGTCATGCATTATGCCGTCGTAATTTGCGGCGCGGCTTAACGTAATTTAAGAACAATGTCGCTTTTTTTTTCCACAGGACTTTCTTACCAGTGGCGAATAATATTGGCCGGCTGATGTAATTTATATATTTTTGCCCGGTATTAATGAAAAACTTTGCGTTATTAACGACTCCGACTTATGGGGTGGCGATGAAGTAGTTAAATTCATCTATGGCAATTTTCTCGTAAGCAAATAGAAATGTTGCGACAGCCTGCAAGCATAAATTAATTATGTCTTATACATTTACACCGTTGATGATTCTACTAATTGCGCTTAGGAAGAGAGTAGAATGAGTAAAATGCTCCTTATCATTAATATTGAGCTTGTATGTGAGAAATATGAAAGAGAAGACACAAATACACGCGAGGTAAAATAAAAATTCACGGCGGATCTAAATTTATCAAGTGTAATACCAGTTTTCATCTCATTTCGCAAACGTAAATATTGAACACGTGTAATAATCTAGCTTCAAGTTGTGCCACGCAGAATTGTAATTCCGATAAAATTAGAAATGTAGAAATGAATAAAATTAAACATCGTCAAAACGTAAGAGATATATTTGTATCTTCTCTTATAAAGTAACTGTCTATATCATATATAGACTATAGTCTATATAGACTTCATCTTTTCCATCTTCGCAAATCGGTCTATCGATTACGATCAACTCCGCCTATTTTTCTATGACTTTCCGGCTCACTCAAGCACGCGTTTAAGTCTAAGATTCTAATATTGTACGATATCTAGTGTAAGTTAATTGTTTATCTAACTTTATTATTAAGGCTCTTTATATTGATCCGGTTGGAACGTATTCTTCAGGATCGAAGGACGATACGTCCTAGTTAGGCACATGTTTCTTCAAGGCACCACGTTTTAATTTTCCTCTCATAGCGAATTGAGTCTACGTATTAATATTTCAGCTGTAACGTTCCGCGAATTCGTTTCAAAGTCCGCAATTATTAAAACCTAGACTGAGAAACTGATTCGACTGCTGCCCGCTATCTCGAGCAAGGGATTCGTCACAAATCTTTAGGATTTATCTTTATGAATATAGATCACTTTCTTTCTCTTCACAGGCCCCGCCGGTTTAACTTTACGTTTCGGCTTCCACGAGAAATAATTTATCCCATACAGTAATTTTAAATTAATTAGAATCACTGTGAACAGTTCTTCGTAGCGGAAATCGTCATAGAATTTTGTTGCAAGTTTCTCAAGTCTTTCGCCAGTCCAAATTCCGACGGTTCGAAATATCGAATTTTCTCTTGTTCTCCAACTGCATCGGGTTCTGTTGAACCGACGCACACCTTTCTTAACTGGATTACCATGCAGATGTTCGCGCTCCAGGACTCAGGTGTTGTTGCCGGGAGACAGTGGTGGCGAGTTCACTTCCCTCTGTTCCTCCTGGACGCTCTCCGGCCTGCTGGCCGTACTGCTCGACCTTGAACTGAGGTTGTCCCGGTCGCTGAAGTACGACGAGTCGCCACGCTTTTCCTCCAGCTGCTGCTTGTCGTTTCTGAAGTCATCGGTTGCGTGACCGAGCAGACCGGGGAAGTACGGTATGCCCTGTCGTTGCGAGGTGATCTTCCCCATGAAACTGCGAATCTCCTCGAAATAGGAATCGTCGGCTCGCGGAAGCTGACCGTGATATCTCGATCTGACCTCGTCTAGTATCGTCGGCCCGTCCGCGTCGTGCTTCTTCAGATGACGATCCAGATTGGTTTGCTGGCCGAAGCATCTCTCGCAAAGCGGACACTTAAACGGCTTCTCCTTGTTGTGGATGTTCCTGACGTGACGCTGAAGATTGCTGGAGATGCTGAAGCTCCTCTCGCAGTACTTGCACTTATACGGTTGCTCGCCGGTGTGCGTCCTCAGGTGTCTCGTCAGGTTCGCCGATCTAGGGAATACCTTGCCGCAGAATTTGCACGAGTATCTGTCCTTGGGCTTGAGACCGGCTTGCATGCTGATCGAATAGGGCGGGAGACTCGAGCTTTGTTGTTGCGGTTGTTGTTGCTGCTGCTGTTGCTGCTGCTGTTGCTGCTGCTGCTGCTGCTGCTGCGAGGGATGATTCGGTTGATGCTGGGATTGCTGACCAACGGCCGGACTGACAGCTCTCACGGTTGGCTGCGACGAGGATGAGGAGGATGTGGACGACGAGGTCGAGGAGAATCTGTTGGGCGGTAGCGGCACCATCGTGGGAAGCGCTCTGACTTGGATCTTTGGCAGATCGGGCACTGGCGAGCTGTGATGGTGCGATCTGTACATCGCTTCCAGCACCAGCGGGTGCATCGCGTGATGCTGCGGGAAGAGCACCGTGTGATAGGGCAGACCACCGCCCAGGCTGTTCTGATTCAACACCTCGATCTCGTTCTGGTTCTCATCCCTGAGCCGCTCCTTCTTGTGATCGACACGGAGATCGAGCGGCTCGCAGTCGAGCTCGTCCTGGTGATGCGACTGGGGCGGTCTGGCCGCGGGGCTCATATGCGGCTGCTGCTGTTGCTGATTCGTCGGGCTCGACAGGCCGCGGCCGTGACCGTGGCTGAGATCGTACGGCAGCTCCTCCGCGTCCGGCACGCGGACGCTCAAAGGATAGATGCTGGCTTGCTTTGGGCTTATGTGGCCCGGCATCTTTCTCGGGCTCGAATCTTTCTCCCGCATGGCTGGAGGATACTTCGGGTCGTGCAGCAACGTCGGGGGCAGGGTGATGCTACCGAGGTATCCGCTCATCACACTGCCTCTATCACTCGGCCTTGCTCCTGCTCTCCGCTTGGGGTAATCTGAAACGTCCAAGGTACGGCACGATTAATCAACTAATACATTTTAAAGGAATTGTATCTTTTACTTTCGGCTATCCAATTTCAAATATTTTAGAGGAAAGTAATTCCACGGCAAATTTTCACGCCTAGCCCATACAGCACAGCAAGGTTTCAGCAACATTGCAGCAATAATTTATCGCAAGATTGCAACATTGCCTAAACGCTGCGAAATGTTGCTGCAACGTTGCTGCAATCTTGCAGCAACGGTAAAATGTCCGCCTCCAGAAATATTACAATGTAATATTACAGCAACATAGTAATATAATGCATGCATAATATACAAGTATGTTTTCTCGAAGCGCGGTGTGCTTCACTTCTCTTTTAAATTCATAGTAAATGAAGATTTGCAATTTAGAAATATACATTTGTAAACACCAACTATTGAGATAAAATCTCTAATCTTAGTAGTTAGAATTTACGTAACAACGATTTCTGTTCCGAAACATTTTCTCGATTGAACAGAATTAATCGTTAATTTAATTAATACCAATAAGTCCGCAGAATAATACACAAAACGTAGTAACAGTCGCGGAACAAGGTAATGTAAACTATTCAGTACAGTATTTTCAATTTCGTAGGCGGGACAACGAATTCTCAACGTTTGTTGTTTTTCTTCCCGCACGGTATCGTACGACGTTACGCGGGCCAAATTACCTGAAGGTCGCCGCGCTATCAGTCGCTCGCCGAACGTCGAGCCGGCAAGCAGTGACGCGAGTCGCTCCGATTTGCACACCTTTATTAGTAAGAATTGTCGATTAATTATTAAGTTTCTACAACTTGTGATGAGAAACGAATTGCAAGTTGAGGCGACGGCTCTTTATCAACGTATAGATATTTCACGAGACTAACTCATCTAAATTATAAAGGTAAATCGTGGTATTTTGTCACGGTTACATCTCGTTTACGCACCGCGCTTTTAATTATCTATCGATTTCGTTTCAAGGATTAGATTAAATGACAAAGATTGTAAAATATCGTTTCGTTACGGACTAATAACTACTTCTTTACCGCAGATTATGCTTTTGATGCTTGTATTGCCTTTTGTATCGCCAATTCAAAAGTGATTTATCCATTCTTCCGAATCAAAAATGCAAATTGTTAATTTGAGTAATTTGTATGATAGAAAGTCACGCGATATCTATTTGTTAATGGTATTTCGTACGTTTCGCGGTATTTCACATCGTGTACGGGAGTGCCCGAATTTTCGCGCGATCGATGATTTTTGCGAGTGAGTGTTGTGTAAGTGCGACAAGGAAATCTGACAATGAGAGGAGGAGGAGGCCAAGGAGGCATCGGGCAACGGCGGAGAAATGGTGAGGTAAGTGTCTTACATTTTTATTTTATTTGCTACTTGTGCAAAATAAAGCATCTGTTCTGTGTGTTTTCTCTTATTTAGTCAAATGATTCGAACGAGAATTCGAATAAGTGTTAGAGACAAAACCGTACGTATAAAATTTTATCAGTTTATATTTAAAAGGAAGGCTTTTTCAGCATTCTATATAATTATTTTAATAAATGCCTATTTTTTAAAATATAAAATATAAAGTATATTTGATACAATAATTTCAATTTTACATGATTAGTCTATAATCATATGCATATTTGTATTGTTACAGTTTAACATATATACCTAGTTGACGATGTACAACTGTGCTGTTGCGAGTCGTATCAGTGAGTGAAAAATTACTTTTTATTTTAAATTGACGTTGCGCATACAATTACTTCTCTTTGCATGTATACAAATTCTTAAAAATATACAATGCTGAACTACAAACTGCGCGCGCGAAACGCGCGTTTTGCCATTTTGTCATTTCTAGTAAACTATAAAAGTGATATGAGGAAACCATATACATATTAAAAACATAATTGTATCAATATTTTAAAATAATATTGCTACAACATTACTAAAGTAATATTGTAAAATAATGTCTCTGCAATATCTATGTACCATCACACTGCAAGATGCAATGTTGCAATCTTGCGGCAATATTGTTGCAAGCTTTTGTGTTGTATGGGAGGTCGCATGCGCGTCATAACGCGACTTATACACGCTAGAAATTGCAAAACTCACTAATTTATTAAATCAACTAATTTATTATCATTCATTATACTTTTTGCAAGCAAATTTTCTCGAAATATCGAACGGTCACGTGTTCGAACGTTCTATATCAATATCTGCATTTTTTGTATGAGAAAACAATGATTTCTAATATGTTAATAGACAGGATTTGGAATGAGACTGTTTTACTGTACCGGCAGATATAGATAAACCGAAGAGCCATGACCAATTAATAAAGAGATAAACGCTTTGCTAAAGTTCTAAAGATAAAAGATAAATTCTTCTCTTTTGTCTCGGTCTGCACTTTGTATATATTTGGAATATTATATGTTAAAGTATACGAGTATACTAATCTCTTAAGTGATAGTAAAAATTCAAGTTGACAAGACAATGGGGAAAATGAAAAATGCGTTGTTGAGCAACGCGAGCGGACGGTGCGGCGTTAAATAAATTTTAAGGTCGCGTCCGATTACAACACTCGAAACGTCAGTCAAAAGTAATTGAATATACCAATCTGCGGCATCTCTAGATAGACACAACCGATTATTAGAGATACGTATCGCGTAACATCCGCCGGTTGACAAGCGAGCCTCACCGCTTGCGCTTCATAAATCAAAAACCCATCGTGCCAGGCTTTCTTTCTAACGCTCGCGGTAGAACCAGATTACGGCGAGTCGAGAAGAATAGAGCAGCGTTATAGGATCGCTAGAAAACGACGCTATTTGGAAACATTAGTGAAAGGATCTCCTCCCCCACCCTCCTCTCTCTCTCTCTCTCTCCCCTTTCTTGATTCAACATCGTCGTGAATCGTTGCCGATCGTAGTGCGAAAGAGGCAGAGAGAGATAGGCAGAGAAAGGGAGAGTGAAAAAAAGAGAGAAAGGCAAAGAGAGGGAACGCAACGGGACTCGATAAATCAAGGCATCAATCGCGTTGTGATAAATGTGTCTTCGGCCCGAGGCTATACGGCAAGGATTTTAGAAGCCGAAGAAATCGATCTCCCGGGCAAATCGACCTGCTCGAATTTTTACCGCCTGACGTCGGAGATAGAAAAAGAAAATATAGATGAAGTAGGAACACCTGCCAGATACGTAAGATGTGTCTATCAGATTTTTACGATCCCGCATTATGGATCATTCAGTCGAACCTTTCTCTCTCTCTTTCTCTCTTGCTCTCTTACTCTCGTTTTATGTCCTGTTTCTAAATGCTTCACCGTTTCACTCTGGCACGTGCTTCGGACTCCGTAGCGCCCGCTAATTGACAGAATTTTATTAATGGATCGCGATCATACGCGCAGTTAATTTTGCTCGGATTTTTTCCGTTTCGCTCGTCAGCGAATGGATACCGTAAGTTCTTCCGCAATGTAATGAAGTAACGATATCTATAACAATCCGAAAGGTCTGTTTGAACAACTCGTCGGTTAAGTATAAACATATTATTAATCATATCTTAAAAAGACAAGCGAAACACGAGATACGTACAACAAAAGAGAACGGCACAATAGGAAAGAAGAAATAGAAAAGTCTCGAGCTGTGTAAACTGATACACGTAATAATGATAAATATTGATGTTACGGTATACTACATTTATATCGCTGGAATGCAGATTTTAAAATTCAAAGTGCAAACATGATGGAATCAATTCAACCTGTAATTTCATAAATTACAGACGCGGGGAATATTTCACATTTTTATCTTCTGTTTTATCTTCCGTTCTGTCATGTTTATTTGCTGGCTGCAACGATTATCGACACGTTTCCGCGCGGAATATTCAGTCACGAAGAAAGAAAAATAACGCTTTTTGTTTGTTGTGTGCCGCGGAGAGATCGTCTTGATAAGTCGATTCGTCGGCTGAAAGTGACGCAGCTATGTCGAGATCACTGCTTTCCGCGCGTTCTTGCGAGCATTGATGTCTCCATCCGCGCATGGCGAGAAGGCGAGTATATTTTATCTTCAATCGCCACGTGCTACCAAGGCAAACGTAGAAACGCGAGAGGCTTTTATTATGTATATCGGAAACATATCTCACTGTGACTATCGTTGATTTTTCCGATAGAACTAATAGGGAAATATAAGAGACAACGTAAGACATAATCTGGATTATAATAATTATACGTAATTCATGAAATGTGTGGAATTATGAATTAATGCCGGTATTAATATAAAGACTAAACATATAATTGTATTGTCGTTATGTTTTTGTATTATTTTCGAGAATCTTATTATTTCGTGGCTCTTACGTTTCAAATGTATAAATAATCTTTTTATTCAAAGACTAAAAAATAAACGTTAGATGCATAAATATGTATGATTTCGAAAATAAGAGCTGTGTAAAAAGAAAAATAACTGTTATTATGAAAGAAGGCGGGAAGAAGAGGAAAGGTAGAGGCGGGTTAGAGCAAGATATTTATCAGTGAATTTACTTATTAAACTCTTAATATGCAAACACGATCTGGAAAATCTCCCAGCTGTAAGTAGCCGTAAGCAATTAATGTAATGATTTAATGGTCTCCATCAGCGAGTCGTAAACACATCTACAATCTCGGGGGAGATCGCGATCGTTTAGCGATCGACGGCTCCGCCTATGCACTCAGTTGCGTTCGGACTGATCCAGTTACAAACCAGAAACTCTAATCCACTCTTCGGTTGTCCACTTCGGCGAAAGAGAAATCAGCTCGTTGCGCCGACAGCGCGGCCGGGAGGGCGAGGCGGAAAAAGAGCGGCGACGCGCGGCGCAAAAATCTCGCTCGTCCGAGGATAACAGTGAAAAGCGTTAATTATGGGCGTCAGGAGGGATTCCTCGCGACCTGGGTTTCGAAGTCGAAAGTAGACGAAAGTTTACACGGCGGTCGATTTTTCTGTATTGTCGTCGTCGCCGCCGCCGTCGCCGCCTCGCGTCTTCGCA